GGTATTTGTCAAGTTTTGGTATTTTTGTTGATGGGTTTTTATATCTCAAAAATTTTAGTTTAGTTCCTCAGCTGACACTCAAATTTCTTTCACTACTTGTTAATGCAGAGGAGGAGAAGCATGGAAAGGACAACTATGGTTATAGCAAGGAGTTTCAGGCAATGTTAGATTCTTTAGACCAAGAAGACTGTGGGGAAGAAATGACAGGGAAGAAAAGGCGCTTAAGCTCAGAGCAGGTCAAGGCCTTGGAGAGAAACTTTGAGGTTGAGAACAAGTTAGAGCCAGAGAGGAAGGCCAAATTAGCTGAGGAGTTAGGCCTGCAACCAAGACAAGTAGCTATTTGGTTCCAAAACCGCCGCGCCCGGTGGAAGACTAAGCAATTGGAGAGAGACTACAGCATTCTCAAAGCTGATTATGATGGCTTAAAGCTCAACTTTGATAGTCTTGAGAGGCAGAATAAAGCTCTGGCTGAAAAGGTTCATATTGGTGAAACACTTTTGTTTGCATCTTTTTCTAGATAGGGTCTTTTTTTTCTCCTTTGTAATTGAGTCTGTTTCTTTGTAACAATTGCAGCTAAGGCACTTAAAAGCAAAGCTGTGCAGAGATAGTGCAGAAAGCAATGGTTCAGCTAAAGAAGAATCACCAATTTCAATGTGCAAGAGCAGTGTCATGGAGCAAAGCAGACACCAAGATTTCAGTGACAATGGAGACAATGCAGAGGTGAATTTGTTTAAGAACTTGAAATCCAAAGATGGATCATCAGATAGTGACTCAAATGGAGTTATGAAGGAAGAGAGCAATGGAAATTCTTCTCTTGGCTGTAACAATGGCCATTCATCATTGTCTTCAAATTCAATGGTAAACTGGTTTCAATTATCAGACTCTAGATCAGTAGCTGGTAAAGGGTTCCAGACACAGCTTGTGAGGATGGAAGAGCAAAGTTTGTTTAGCACAGAAGAATCCTGCAATTTCTTCTCAGTTGATCAAGCTCCCACTCTCCATTGGTACTCTGCTGAGCAGTAAAAAAAACTAGTTGGACTTTTCTAAGTTTTTTAAATGATCTAATAAAAATGGATCTTACTGAATTTTGTGATCTAGAAGCAAGAATGTCAAAAATTTAAGCTTTATTGGCCACATCATAAATATCATGGTATTTTCTGGTTAATTTTAAGAAAAGCTAAAAGTTCCTCACAGGAGCTTGCAACTATGTGACTGTAAAAAAAGTCACAAAGCTACAAAGTACAAACTATTTGCAATATGATGCATCATACAAGGAGGTTGTCCAAACTACGCACAGTTGTCAATTTTTCATTTCAATATGCTTCTGCAGCTCACTAACTTTAGGATTTGACAACAG